GCATGCTTTCCTATGGGGATTTCACCAACGTTGGAGGTCCTCACATAGCGTGAGGACGTCCAGCGTTGCTCAAAATACTTTTACGTGTTCTAAGAACACGGAAGTCCCTCTAGTGGCTGTCTGATAGACAGCCACTAGAGGATGACTTAACCATGCAAGGTAAATATTGCAGTTTATGAAAACTGCAATAATTACACTTGCAGGGTTAAGGGTAGTGGGAGTTGGTACCCAGACCACTCCAATGGGCAAAAGTGGTCTGGGTGCCTGGAGTATCCCTTTAAGCTAAAGTCATTTTGGTGACTACAGTGTCCCTTTAATGTTATATCTATCTCCATGCAGTTTGTCAATTTACAACAAATTTATATAACCTTTACCTTGTTACAGAATCTCATGTTATCATACAATGATGAGTGTCAAGGTAGGACTTTCTTTTTAAATGCTGTTGGTAATATTTATACGAAATTTTGAGCATTAGTATCTGTGTGATCAGCATTCAAACGGACATCGCTTTTTTTTAATTATATGGGGATTTCTGCTGTAAAACGTTAACAGAGTATAAAAGCTACATTCATTTTATTGGCTCAACAACCATATATCATGGTAAAGTCTGCATTGATCTATAAATCTTCTTCAGCCCATTTATTTTATTGAAGATGATATTTAAATATCTAAAATATCCAATTTATAAAATGTTCTCCTGATTTCTTTCCAAAATTCCAGGCCAGCTCAGATGACTACGTTTCATAAACGTAAGTCTCCCGAAACTGAAGTGAGAAGTAGCTTGCGTCTTTGAACACATGCTCTAATCCAATGCAATATTTACATTTAAATAATGACCCGCAAAAGATTAATCATAGGTGGCCCATGGCATGAATAATTCTATCCACAGTCATTATTACCGGTCTGAACGATTGGTCAGATATTTAATGTTTTAAGCTCAGAAGTAGTGATTCACTTAGTGGGTAACAGCAGGGCCGGTGCAAGGATTTTTGGGTACACAGGAGATGATGATTTTAGATATCCCCCCTCCCCCAAAAAAGCATTCACCTGTGTCCCTCTTAACCTGCCTTTTGTTTCATATCCCCTTTTTAAATTGTCTTACCCCCTATTTTTTCCCCATTGTGTGTCTTATACCTCCCTTGTGTATCCCCCTTTGTGTTTCTTACTCCCCCCAGCCTCTGTGTCTCCTCCTCTCCCAGACCCTTTGTGTATTTTACTCTTACCAGCTCCTTTGTGTTTCTCTTTCACCACCAGCACGTCTATTTCCCCCAGCCCCTCTGTGCCTCTTTTTCCTATTCCCCAGCCCCTCTGTGTCTTTCACCCCCAGCCCTTTTGTATTTCCACTCACAGGCCCCTTTGTGGACTTTCTCACCCCCAGGCCCATCTGTGTGTCTTTCTCCCCCCTCATGTCCCTCTGTGTGTCTTTCTCCCCACTCCGGCCCCTCTGTGTGCAGTGCCACTCTCCCCTCCATGTCCCTTAGTGTTCCTCTCCTCTCCCCGTCCCTTAGTGTTCCTCTCCCCTCCCTTCCCTGTCCCTTAGTGTTCCTCTCCCCTCCCTTCCCTGTCCCTTAGTGTTCCTCTCCCCTCCCTTCTCTATCCCTTAGTGTTCCTCTCCCCTCCCTTCCCTGTGTCTTAGTGTCCCCCCCATTCTCCTTAATGTTACTTCCACCCCCCATCTTAGTGTTCCTTTCCCTTCTCTTTTAGTGGTCCCCCCACTACCCCAGTGTTAATTTTCCCTTCCTTCTCCTGTACCTTAATGTTTCTCTCTCCACCCCTAGTGTTCCTCAACCCCTCCTCTTTTTAGTGTTCTCCCCCGTACCATAGCATTATTTCCCCCCTGTCCCATAGTTTTCCTTCCCCCACTCCCATAGTTTTCCTTCCCCCACTCCCATAGTTTTCCTTCCCCCACTCCCATAGTTTTCCTTCCCCCTCACTCCAGCCGGATACAGGAAACAAATTCCTGTACCGTGCCGCTCGGCCGCGCTACACAGAGTGCCTGGCAAAGGGTAGTGCTGTGCGCCCACCTCCTGCCAGTCACTCCAATCTATCTTTTTTTTTTTTTTTTTTTTTATAACAATTTTGCCTTCATTAAAACTAGGACACTAATGCTCCTCTCGAATGCACATGATGATAGATCTGCCCAAAGAATTATCACTCTAAATATAAAATAATTTTTGAATCTAGCACAAAATAATAGCTCTATTTTCCACTTAAATTTTAAAGTGGTTTTATTCTTTTGATAATTTAAAATTGATATATTACTCGGATATCACAATTGTCTCTATAAAGAACAGTCAGAGCATTTCATGCCAGAATGTACTTATTTTTTCCACGATTCTCTCTTACTATCTGATAGTGTCATTGCATGTTTTGCACAGAGCACTGAGCTGGCAAACCTTTGAGAGGATTATGGGGTCTTCTTTTCTGTGCCAAACTCGCAGGACGCATTACTGGCAAACTCACAAAGACAAGCAAAACATGAAATACAAGCTCACTGCACCAGAAAATACGTTACTGTGCGAGATATGCAATGTCACACTACAAATAATGGACACGGATGAACAGAGATGGGTGGGTGGGGGACGGACATACAAACAGAATGAACACCACAAATAGCAGGTTCATTTATATGCCCAGATTTAAAATTGTTTTGCCATGGAGCTTATAAGCAGTTTTAGTGGACCATACCACATCTACATGGCTTCTAAGATAAACCGATATAATCACTAGTTTGTAACAGATTGTAACTTGACTTGGTCATGACCCTTCTTAAGATCCCTCACAGAGAAAAACTCAAATACATTATTACATGCAGTGAGTTGTTCTTCTCGGATAATCAGACATATTACCTATGGGTCAATAGATCAAATTCTGTGATGGCACAGGAGACAGAGAAAAAGAATTAAGGCCCCGTTATATATTTCTAAGCAGAACCTGCAATCATTCCTGTTTGTATTTCAGGGCTAGCACATTTATTATCACGCGGCTAGATCTCTAGGCTGACACACTGCTGCCGATATATATATTTTTTTGTGCTAGACTTGGTAAGAATCAATATTTCTCTTGAGTTGATTATAATGATGGCTGTTTTCAAAGCTATACTGCTGGCAATTAAGCCTACTAAAAGCCAATATCATGAAAACAGAGAAACTCTGAGAGGAAAAAAAAATAAAATCTATTCTGGTGATAGCCAACTAAAAGGAAGGATATATTAATGACGGCATCAAAGCATGAATAGCTGGAAATCACAGAAATAATAGATTTTACACGTTTTATAAATAGGATTCACCTATTAGAAACACATGATGGTCTAATCCAGGTGTTGAACGGATGATGTTGGAATACAGTTGCCCTTTAATTCCCTACCAAGCAAGGATTATGGGATATGTAGTCTAATACCTCTTGAGAGCGAGCTTGCTTTAAGTCACCGTAAAAAGACTTCATTCCAAATTTTAATCTGAAGTTCTATTCAAGCAGCCACAGCCAATGAGTGCAGTGCTGTATCAGGCTGTGTTTAGCTCAGAGGAGAGATCCAGTTTCTCCTGCAGGAGAAGTAAGACACAGCACTGACAGTCGGGTTCCTAGGTTCTTAAACAGTTTGACTACTTAGCCTGAGAGAGCGCTAGGGCACTCCTGGCATCATAAACCACCAAAGCTGGATGTAGTGGTTATTGTGCGTTAAGTGTCCCTACTGCACCCTTTTTTTTTTTAGATCACAAGTCATAATTTTGCAATAGGTGAAATATAGCTCTCAACTACCCTGTATCTGCAGAAACAGTCCTGATATAGCCTGTCCTTGACATCCAAGTGTCAGATCTAGATGCCTTCTCCGTCTACCTTTCAGATGTTAATGTTAGAAGATATGCATAAAAAGATGCCTGGTTATAGGTTTGTAAATGCGAAGCTCCGGAAACAATACGAGTGAGGTTTCTATCACGAATGAAACTAATGTTCTGTATGCTGTGAAAGAATCTGACAATCTAAATAAATAATATAATATAAAGATGTTAAACAGAGCTCTCAGCAGGCGAGCCTGTGGGTGGGATGCACAGTAAATGTAAATTGCAGTTTGCTACGAACTAATCCAACTAATATTTGTAGCCCCCCCTCCCCTTATTTTTAAATAAAACCCAGAGGTTTCAGAAGACTTTCTTTAAAAATCAATTCTTTTTACTTCCATTCCATTTCCCATTTGCGCTACAAGCGTCATTTGGTAAATAAGCCTTTCAAATGTTAAATCAAACGAATGCGCTACACTATTAATTAAGAATAGCGTGATCAAATATCAAGTTAGTAAGAAGTAGGAATCTTGATCACAAATATTTAATTCTTAATGGGATAAGTTCCTTTTTTTTTTTCTATATATTTTGCATTTTACAGCCAAGCAGAAGAGGAAAAATCCTTGTAAATGAAGTTTAATATATTTTTCATTAAGTGCAATTAGCAAATGTGTATCCTAATTAATACTCCACGCATTTATGCCATTTCGGAAAGTAACTTATTTTTACTTTTGTTTCTGTTGATGGGGCACATACCTCAAATAAATGAAATGGCCCATTTGCTTTGAAATTAGAATCATCATTAAAATATAATTAAATGCACACTTAGATACCCATTTAAATGCTTTAAAAGCTTAATTTTCGAAATACTAAGTTACAATATGTTAGAGAACAGAATTCATATGCTTTTATTGCGTTATTTACTGCTAACTGAAGGTACGCTACAATATATTCCAAATAATACGCATAGAGGTAGTTCCTCATCGTGTTGGACAGTTATCTTTAACTTAAATTCTCAAGTAATAGAGGGAATTCTAATGATTTTAAGTAATGCTATTAAGCATTTATTAGACCCCTGTGGATATCTGACACGTTTTAAGCATCACAAATAGTTTTGGCTCATATATAATGTCAGTTTTGGACCTAAATTTTAGACTCCACTTTATAAAATGAGGCAAAAATTACAAAGTGGTCCCAGCACTCCAGAGTAAAAAAGGAAAAAAAAAAAAAAGAGGAAAAATTTATTGAACCCACCTCCACACACAACGTTTTGACCTGAACGGTCTTTGTCAAGCTTGAGACAGACCGTTCAGGTCAAAACGTTGTTAGTGGCGGTGGGTTCAATAAATTGCTTTTTTTTTTTTTTTTTTTTTAACTCTGGAGTGCCTGGACCACTTTCTATTTTTTGCCTCATCAAATATTTGGTTCTTGATACTGGGACCAGCCTGGTTGCACCCAGATTCATATTACCATGGGGATTGAGTGCAGTTTCACTTTATAAAAAGCAGAGGTGAGGACTAACTTTAACCAGTTGGGTTTGCTATGTGCAATACAGTTAGTTTTATAGAGAATCTGAAATACATACATTTTACGGGTGTACGTTAGAGTTCTGAAAGCTCAGTGAAATTCCTACGCAAAATATAATCAGATTTCCCCACTGATTCTACATTTATGAAAAACTGAGAAGTGAAAGGTCCTCTTTAAGTGGGTAATTATACTGTGGAATGATTTGAAGCAGCGGCGGATTGAAATGGAGTCAGAAAATTAATTACCTGATCTGGATTGTATGTAGTAATCATGTGAGGCTTGCATACAAAGTACCATACATACAGAGGCTGAAATTGAAAAACAACTCACATTCTGCGTGCTCAAATATTTTTGCTAGTACTCACTAAAATGTAAATGTGTTAAAACTGAGATAATTAAGGGACAATGTAAATATGCAAGTGTATGTTATTTTAATTGTTGTACTACATGTAGTTTCTCAAATTTTTCAGAAAAAGAACTGGAGGAAAATGCAAAAGCAGGAGAAAATCACATTAATTTTAGTGGCACCTAGTGTAGCAGCCATTGACCTGGGAATTAAATAATAACTGAAATTTATTTTGTGTGTTTTGCTGGCCCTTACTAGAACAGTCATTGAACTGGGGTGAATCATGTCACTAGGGGACTGTCAATATTTGAAATTGCTGTAAATATTGTTTGCGTGAAATTAGCTTCCGATGTGAGTAATGTATGTTTTGTTGCTATGAAGCTATCTGCAGCACACACATATTAAAGGGATTCTCTAGTGCCAGATAAACAAAGCCGTTTTCCTGGCACTGTAGAATCTTGGAGGGCTCCCCTCCCTCCCGCCCTCCATCCCACGTCGCTGAAGGAGTTAAAACCCCTTCAGTCACTTACCTGAATCCAGCTCTGATGTCCCTCGGCACTGGGTCAGGCTCCGCCCATGCTCCTCCCCCACCGGGGGAGACCTAATGCGCATGCGCGGCAATGGCCGGGTGCGCGCACACCTCAGACCTCCCACACAGGAAAGCAGGCGATGCTGGAGGTCCTCATGCATAGTGTGAGGACCTCCGGTATCAAGTAGTCTAAGAAACCGGAATTCGCTCTAGTGGCTATCTGGTAGACAGCCATTAGATGAGGACTTAGTCCTGCAAGGTAATTATTGCAGATTGTAAAAACTGCAATAATTACACTTGCAGGGTTAAGGGTGATAAGAGTTGGCACCCAGACCACTTCAATGGGCTGAACTGGTCTGGATGCCTACAGTGTCCCTACAGTGTTCTGTGATAAAATCTTTTACATTACAAAACAGTTGCTGTGGAACTCTGTGATACACACACTGTACATTTCTGTGAGGTTTTTTTTTTTTTTTTGGCTGGGGAGATTGGGACACACATTGCATATTGTTGTATTACTTACTGCTGTAGAGCTCTGCCATTAGCTTATACAGAAGGTTGATGCAGTCACACATTGTACTTTACAGTGAGTTTTATTGCTGTGGAGATAAATACCATACTCACAGCAAATTACTGTGGGGCTTTGTGATACACAAGAACATACTGAACTGTCTCAGTGAAGCTAAGACAACCTTTGCGTATGCTAATTATTGCTCCTTCCAGTTGATGGAGAAGCTAATAATTAACTGAGATATGCATTGTTATTGCCATTTATATAGCGCCAACAGTTTCTGTAGCACTTTATAAGAGGGGGGATGGAACTATAAATAGGACAATTACCAGAAAACTTACAGGAAATATATGTTGAAGAGGACACTGCTCAAACAAGCGCGTACAGTCTATTTGCATGCGTTCTTATAAAATAATTAAAGGAACACTAGGGTCAGGAACACAAACATATATGATAGGTGGCCAGTTCACCTTGCCCTCCTTCAGTAGGGCTAAATCTTACCTTTATCTGTCAGACGTCGCTTGTTCCGCCCCACCTCCTTGGCTGAGAACATCAGAATTGACAATCTCAGCCAATCCAATAATTTCCAATTCTGATGATCTCAGCCAAGAAGGCATCTCCTAAGCTTGGAGACGCTAATCATCAGAGCTGCACGTTGTGCAGCACTGACACAGGAAGCACCTCCGTCAAGTCCGCCTGGGTGACTACCACAAGAGGTGTTCTCTAAAAAGGCAGTGTTTACATTAAAATGCCTACAGGGACATATTATACACACCAGAAAAACTACATTAAGCTGTAGTTGTTCTGGCGACTATGGCGTCCCTTTAATTATTTCAGCCAATTTCTTCTCTGCTGAGAGCTCTCAGGATATGCTGCAAATCTTGGAGATGTGCTGCTAACATGGGAACTTCAAGTGCTTTTAAAAAAAGAAATTCCATATATAAAAAAACAACATAACCTAAAACACACATTAGAAAAGTCTGGGCGATTAAGAACAAGCATAACTGCAAGGTAATTTACAATGTATAGATTAAATGTAGCACTTCATTAAATCTATAGTGCACTAAAACATACAGCATATTCAGAGCGATGTATCCACCGGTAGTGTCAAGCCCTTGGTCACACGCCTGGGGTTCTTTTTGTCCTGCATTAGTGAAACAAGAGGAGGCAGCTCACAGACAGTGTGTCATTGCTGCATACTGCTGATCAAAGACAAGGGGCCTTGCCAGCCAGCCTCGGGAGACTTAATGTTCCCACGTTACCATCTGTCTCTAGGTGTACATATTCTGTGGATACTGTATTAACGTACTAAATTTCTTTCTTCTTTTTTTTTTTTTATTCCAAATTCTTATGTGCAGCTTACCTAAAGTTCAATGTCGTTAATCAACAGCAAAGTTATGTATACCACAGCTGAGAATTTAAAGTGTTAATGTCTTAAGGTTAAGACATATACGGATAATTCCATTACTTAGTTATTTCACGAAACAGCGAGCTGCAATCTCTTGTTAGTTAGGATGCTAAGTAAAAACGACACCCTATATACATTTATTTATATGTATTGTCTTTATGATATATAGAAAATACATTATGAAAAAGGCTGTTACTTTGATTGACATAAGAATAGATATACGGGGGCACATAGCTAGGTTTATGAAGCACAATTCTAGGGTACGCTAATTGTGTAACGATCACCGTGGAAGCCAGTACAAACATCTTGATTGTGACTGTTTTAGTAGTATGCACCATTATTACTCTTTATGCACATATCTCCCCAAATTCAGTTTTACAAGATGGCCCATGTTCCACTGTCCCTGGGTTCTTCTCTTCCAGACAGATACCATAGACAGGTCTCCAATAAGTTCAGCACAAGTCCATCACCAGACACGTTGGTACTGTGCAAACTATCGTCCGTGCACAGAACACTTCAATAATGCCCTGAAGCTATACTCTGAGATGGGCAGTCCAGCATGACCATTAGTCAGCAGTCATGACCTTGTTTTGTACAGGACTGCCCAGTTTCCTAGGTGGTCACGCTCATCAATTTGGGAGTTATATGTACATATGACCTATTGTTCTCTGGACACAAACATGCAGAAGGTTTGACTGTGTGTCACAGAGATAAGCAATCCACCTATGGTTTAAAAGTTCAGATTTTTGAAAAACATTTCTAAACAGGTGACTGTCTCTGTGATGGTGAAAAAGGCTGCATGGGTTGACTAAATACAAAAAAAAACAATTATGGACTGCAATATTTATATACATACATATATATATATATATATATATATATATATGAAAAAGTATCACGCAGAATAATTATTATAAAAGTACATTTTCTACACAGATATTAATTTTAAAGTATTTCAATACGATTTTAAAGGACCACTTTAGTCACCCAGGCTACTTTATTTTAATGAAGTTGCCTTGGTGCACTGGTCCAGTTTTGGTCAATTTAAGCATTCAAGATATAACATTGCTGTTTTGCAGACACGGCCATGTTCACCTTGAGGGGTTGAACACACCCCCAGGACCTGTTACACTGACAGCCACTAGAGGCACTTCTGCTGTTCTGACAGAGTTAAACTCTGTCATGTGATGTGGAAGCCCCCCACAGGAAAGCATTGATTCAATGATTTCCTATAGGGAGGCCTGCATGCTTGCGAAACATGCACTTTAGACCCGAATGCTCTTCTTTGAGGAACATTGCATTGAAATATGCCGGACAAGGCTATGCCTCTTCCATGATTCCATGGGAGGAGAGGTAAGCAGTGCCATGGTAGGCTCGACGCAGCAAAAACCTTCTTTTTATTATTTTTATTGGGCACATGAGAGGGGCTATATAATTAGGGATAGGAACACTTAAGTGTTAGGAATACCGTTTTGTGTTCCTAATGCATTAGTGTTCCTTTATAAAGCAAACATTAGTAGCAGGCGTGTGCTGCTCCATATTTAGAGCAGCACACATGACTGATACTGTAGGAGGCTTTGTACAATGGAATTACGTTAAAACTGGGAACTTCAGATATTGCTGACACTCAAATGCTATGCCCATGTAAGAGCACTAACTCTCTTGACGATAATGGCCTAATGCCTTATCGCTCTAGTGCCACATGGGAGAGGATCACTTTAGCTAGCGAAACAAGGGAAATCAAAGCTAATAATGTATTTTATGTTTCATAAATTAGATTGTTTAGTTTTTGGTTTTTTTCCTTGCTATTAAAGTAATTAAACTAAAATACCAATCCACAAAACATGCAATTGGTGTTTAATAAACATTTTGGGGCAAAATGTTAGGTACCCTTACATGGCCGCTCATTGCTTATGGTGAGGTAGTGATACCTTTGCATCTGTTTGACAGAAATTTGTGTCATAGAGGTTAAACTTGTAATTTAGCTACGGAACAGAAAAACAAAAAAGGGCAATTATGTCTCAAATATGTTATTTTCTTGCACAGGTTTTCCAAT